AAATGAAGGTCTTGGCTTTCCAGTGTTAAGAGCACAAGACTTCCCATAATGCAGAACAACCATAAGTTTTTTAGTTACAGAGATAAGTTAAACAGTGTTGTGCTGTCTGGGGAAATTCTCTGCCAGAGCCTTAACTGGCTTCCGTAGGTAGTCTTTCCGTAATCTCTGTTTCAGCTCCTGGTAGAAGAGGAAGAGGAAAGATTGGACAGGGCAAAGGAAACATACACACGGCAGATTTATCCTGTGTGATTTTTCACTGCAGTAAGTTCAGGTTTGTGACAGACACTTAGTAGGTTGCTACCACCTCCAGCTCACCAGACTTTTTGTCTGCTCATGATTCAGCTTTGCAAGGATTGCCGTTTTCAGCTAGCGCATCACACTGGCTAAGTAAATACTCCAGATTGAAAACTGAGTAGCTCGGGAGCTGCTTCGTGTATCAAGTATTGCTGTCTTAGAAATGGCAATGCTCTTTATAGCACAGGCAACTGGAGTTTAATTTTCATTTGTCACCACATGTCTGTTAGAACGCACAAAAGCAAATTTTAATTGTGTCTGTCACAATACAGCTGTGTATACAGTGAAAACTAATTGAGATGTATAATATATTGTAATGGCAATTGTCTTTCAACTGCTTGATCTTTCCTCATCCGGATGATCCCTGAATTTTTCATTTACTTTAAACTGATGCTAACACTGCTAGGCATTGAATTAGATTGCAAAGCCTATATCCACAAAAAAGGAGGGATGGGATTGTGAATTGTTGAAGCCATTTAATATAAAAACCGTTCCAAAGAATTGGAACTGTGTATAGTTCCAATCCTGGAAATGTATTCCTGTTGGTAAAAGAACTAGGAAATTGACTTTTTAAAGGGAAAAGATGATAAAGGAAGATTCTGCCTTTTTTAAAAGGGAAGTATGTAGGTGGCTGCTTCTCTAGCCACCGCCCTGTGTGCTTTAGAACTCGGCTTCAAAGGCAGCATTGGGAAGGTTGAGCTGCTTTCTCCATCCAGAACCTAAAGACACTTAAGAATGCTCAGTCAGTGCCTGGTTGACAGGAAGAACCATGATGTGTGTCAGACATAACGTAAAGAATCATTATTGGGTTATTTTTTTTCATATTTTTTTATCTAGTTGCTGTGACTGCAGTAAAAGGATAACTTTTTGCTCTGCATTACATTTCCAACATTTCCCAGAGGAGTAAAAGCAAAGCATTTATCTAGAGATACTGAACTGAGCTAAGGAGTGTGATTTGCCTCCTCCACAGCCCTTCCAAAGAAGCAACAGTTGTAGACAGGTTTGTAAACGTAGTGTCTCCCGGGAATCTCCAAACCTGTGCGCTTAGAGGAAAGAGATAATTTTTCTAGGAATTCCTAATTTCCTGCACGTAGTTTATCTAAGACATTGTCATGTGTTTCCAGGGCAGGGCCACCTCCAAAGAAAACTGATGTTACATTGTATTTTATGTATAGAAGAATTCTTCATGGTAATCGGATCTGCTTCATATGCATGTATCTTCAAAATAATTTATTTTAAATTACATTTGAAGAATTTAGTTACAATAATAAAATCTGAGACAGCTCTGACTTCCAGATCACTGCTTGAGCTAATAATATTAGAAAAATCTTTTTAATATAAACTGATCAAACAAGTTACAAATTTGTAGAAGATTTGCAAAGTACGTTTTGTGTCAAATATAGGTACGGAAGAACTGTAGCCACCTTAGCCACATTATGATCAGTCTCATAATCTGAATCATACTTCAGATTATGAGACTAATCAAAAGTGTCAGTGGAATCCACAGATGTTTTCAAGTGTAGGGTTCACCATTTCTTTAGTACAAATACCCTTTACAGCTTCATGCTCCAAAAACACCGTTGATACTGTTGGTTGTCGTAAGAGGTCATCTGTAATGACTGAAAAAAATGGACCTATTAAGCCTTTTTTCAATAAGGAAATTTGCTTTGCTGTAAGGAAGCTCAATTGCTGTGGTAGCAGCTTTCTTAGGTAAGGCATCTGGAAGACAATACTATAAACAATGTTTCTCCAAGGCTTTTTTTTTTTTTTTTTCCCCAGTTGGTGGCAGGTGAGCTTACATAAGAAAAATTTGGAGGTGTCTAAAAACAAATGAACATTATCAGTAATAGCAGAGGAGGATTTTATTTGAAAAAATGCAGTGAATCATTCGGGAAGTTGCTATTATTGCCTGTAATATTTCTCTTTTACTACATGAGCCCTTGTGAGATGTGTAAGGAGTGCTGAGTCAGTTTCAGAAGTTTTGCAAATGCTCAGAAGTCTATAAATTCTACTCTGAATTGGGCAAACTTGATTTGAGCTACTAGAGCCATCATTCATGTTGTTAGTGACAAGATAGAATTAATTTATTATTGATATGTGGCACTGTAATACCACTATTAATTAGTGACTAGCTGTATTACTAAAAGGTATTTCATTGTGTCTTAAAATGTAACAGTTACGTATCCTCTCAAGTCAGATTTATACAAATTACACTCTAAGGCAGGAGGTTGCAGAAGGATGTAGATATCCTTGCTTGGGTAAAGAATTTGGAATTCATTTAATGATAAGCTAATATAAAGAAACAGTATTCATGGTTGTGGCTTTTTTTTTTTTTCCCCAGTCAGGTGATTGTCAGATAATTGAAATAATCTTAGGGCAAATAATTTAATAGGAATGTCTAAAGATGGCACTTCAACATTCAAAAGCAATTGAGTTGGTATGCAGTGAAGTTCCTCATATGGACTTTCCTCACCCAGGACAGAACTGGAATAGGTCAGATCATTAGTTTTTGTAAACTGGATGGGATAATTTAGATTCCATATGCCATTTCTTATTCTTTTTTTTTTTTTTTTTTTACATTTCAATTTCCTTGTCAAGCAACTGAAATATTTTTGTGCTAGTTATGAAGTAGAAATTGAAGTTGTTACCCTAGGAATAAAAGCCTCATTTCATCTCAGTTTTCATATTTTTCATTATTCCAGAAGAGTGGAAATATTTAGCTTAGTAAAACTGAATATAGTCCTTCCTTTTTAACATTCAGACCAGAGGCTGAAGACAGTAGGCATTTGGTTTCATCTTCTGAAACTTTATACTGATTACTGAATTTGTATTTCTGGGTGTTTTAAACTTAAGCTGTCAGTGCCCTTCTGAAGAAGTGCTACTCATCAAAATAGATCTTTTTGGAAATTTACCTGTATTTTGATTGTCTTGGCAGCAATGCTGTATTATTCTTACTTGGATGGTTTGCCAATTGTCAGAACTACTAGGAAGGAGACTTAAGTCTTTTTTTTGAAAAATGTAGTTTCTCCTGAAATCTAGCAGTTCCAAAGCATTTTGAGCTATTCTTTTTATAATTGCGTGGTACTGTGAAATTTCTGTAACTACAGTGTTATGCTTCATTTCAGGGTAATGTTCAGTATGGAATATGATGTACTTATAAGATTCAAGATAGTAACTCAACTGTCTATCCTACCTGAACACAAAATGTGTTCAAGCACCATTTAAACTTTGTTATAACATGCAAAACCTGAGATTTATGGAATATCCTAGGAAAAACCTGTTTATGTTAAGAACATCCTAGAAAATATTCTCCACCTTAACTAACAATGGTTCAGCTCTTATCGTACCACGTTATCAGACATTGATTATATGGGCT